GATTTTTGTTGACTTCAGGTTGCCATGAATGTATTTGCGACCGCTGAACTCGTGTATGTACATCAAGCCCCTTGCTGCCTCTTGAGCAATTCTTAACCTTGCTGACCATGATAACGGTGGCAATGAATTGGAAGGACCACCTACAACCATAAAACACCAAACACAGCACAAAATAATTGAAAACCGGTCCTCAAAAGTGGGAAGTGAAAGTGACCTCAGAACCACCAAAACCAGAGTTTTAGTTAAATTAAGTACGACTGCCAAAATTGAGAAGCAGAACATCCATATTCCATAATCATGCGAGGATTTGTATGTTGCACAGCAAACAATGCCAATGACCTCTCCCTAATAGTCTAGCACAACATATGTTATAGAATTGGAACAAATCAATTCACTTGAACATAAAATTTGATAGATCGAGACTTCATAGTTAGAATGCTCAACACACCACGGAGCAGAAAAAAAGTCTTGGTACTTTGAGGACCACCACACTACAAGTAAAAGCATAAAGAAATCCGGTGGATGCAACCAGAATCACTAGAAGACAATGATCATCGGGTGCAAATCACTGAGGTGTGAAAATGATTGCATTGGGACCATGTGATTGTCAATCACCAAATGGGTTAGGCAAAAATATAAATTATCTTTTTGCAGCTAACTCTATTGGCACAAAAATAGGACCATGCAAGATATTTTGGATGAATTTGATTGAATGCTCACTAGCAACACACCTTTAAGAGAAATGGTAGCAATTAACAACACACACTTTCATACTGTTCCCAATTTGCATTTGTATCACTGGTTAAAATTTATGTTTGACTCGTTAAATGGGGAGTGGGAGTGTGGGACCTGCCTTAAATAAAGGTCCATGCATAATTATAACTAACAATAAATAGTTAGTTGCCAGCATCGCTCATGACTAAGATACCAAGCATTCACCAGCATAAAGCTATAGTTCTTGTGATCACGGACAAAAGACATAAAAAGGGACTTTGGTTCTCAGGAGCAGAGGCACAAAATTCACAAAAGGACACGATGGCCATGGCCAGCCCCTTAAATATGTAGTGCAAATACGAAACACCACTTAAAGGATAGAAAAGAAAAATCACATGTAAAAGTAGCAAGGAGCAACAGGTAAAGGTTTCATCCACCATCTCCTGCATATGTCCCAGACTCCCAGTACAATCATGATGGTGGTAATCACATGATCACATAATTGACTCTTGAAAGTAAAAGTTAGAATTTTAAGTCATCACATGGAGAACATCCCCAATTCAAAGCCCCGCACTCGGAATGAGAGGCATGTTTTCACTTCCCCGAAACCAGAAACCATCCGTGTAACCTCATGCTACAACACTATAAGCAAATTCAACCACGCTTGCAAGCTTACAAGCCCCATTTTAAGAGCAACAAGAAACGCATAACACACACGTGACTTGGCATAATAAAGCACACAACAACACCATATCATAATTAATTGAAGCATCAAACTACCCCAACTTCAATTTAACAAAAAAAGAAAAAGAATTAATACCATGTAACGCAGTGTGCAAGCTTCCATTGCGAATGAAATCAGTGATAAGAAGCTTCTCATCATGCGCGTAATAATAAGCCCTCAGAGGCACAACACTGGGGTGACGAACCCTAGCAATGGCCTCCACCTCAGCCTCAAACTCCTTGAACCGCCACGTGGCATCTCCCTCACTGAGCCGGCGCACGGCCACCACATTCGCCGCCGTGGACGACCCTCTCCCAACACCGACAACCTTGTACACAATCCCACTCCTGCTCTTCCCAACAACATAAGCAGAAGCCCTCAACAAATCCTCCAACTCCAACTCAAACCCTTCATCCACAACCACAAATTTACCCTCTTGCCCCTCTCCCCCATCCACCTCATTCTCCAACTTCCCACCATTCCCCAATTTTTCCTCCTCCCCGCCGCCCCGCCGCCGCCGGAAAACCCACAAAGAAAGACACACCGCCCCAACCGCGACGGAGAGCCCGGAGATGACCAAAACCGCGACGGACCCACCGCCGCCGCCGGCGTGCTGTCTCCCTCCCTCGGATACCCCTTGAGGGTGAAGCGCATTGGGATTCTCAGGATTACCCTCTTCAGGGTTTGAATAAAAACCGGACCTTTCCGCCTCGGGGCAGGCGTTCTGCAAGGGAAAACCACAGAGACCAGGGTTACCGGCGAAGGCGGTGGGGCCCTGGTTCAAGAGGGCCCCCACCTGGGGGATTTTCCCGGTGAGGTTGTTGTGGCGGAGGTCGAGGCTGACGGCGACGGGGAGAGCCCCGAGGGAGGGGGGAATGCCGCCGGAGAAGTGGTTAAAGGAGAGGTTGAGCGTTCCGGCGAGGGAGGTGAGGTGGGAGAGGGTGTCGGGGAGTGTGCCGTTGAGGGCGTTGGAGGAGAGGTCGAAATGGCGGAGGGAGGGGAGAGAGGCGAGGTCGGCGGGGAGGGGACCGGAGAGGGCGTTGTGGGAGAGGTCGAGGAGGAGGAGCGTG